CCCCCCCCCCCAAACCCTGCCCCAAGAGACCCCCGCGCAAAACGCCCTCGGGGGGGGGGGTTTATTAAAGGGACCCTAACATTAGAATGTGTCTGGGGCTCTAGCTTTTCGACTGGTATAGGGACCTTAAAAAATTGACCCACAGCCTGAAACCTCAGCCCTAAAACCCGCAGCCCCACCCGCAGCCCCAAAGCCCTCAAATCATAAATCCTGATTTCAAGCCTCCTACGCCCGAAAACCCTAAACTCTAAAGCCTAGAACCCTAAACCCTAAACCCTAAACCCTAAACCCTAAACCCTACCTAAACCCTGACCCTTGAAACCTGAACCCTGGAACTCCACTCCTTGCGGCGCCCCAGTTCTCAGGCCCGCCCCAGACTTCTACAACTACACCTGCATCCCTTTGAAGGCTTCTGATGAGCCAAAAATGACAAATTTTACGCTTTGAGGTTTAAGTTTTTAGGGTTTCGGGTCTAGGGTTTTGAGAATGGAGACAGGGCAGAAGGGTTTGGGCAACACAGGGTTCCGGATCTAACCCTCACGACGGTGAGTGCAGTGGCGTTGTTGCAGATGTGTGCCTGTTGGCATGGACGTTTTTGGACACATCCCTGCCCTAAATCCTAAACCCTAAATCCCTAAACCCTGATTCCTAACCCTCAATCCTAAACCCTAAACCCTAAACCCACAATCCTAAACCCAAAACCCCAAAAATGCGAAACCGATCAACCCGCCCTAAGATGAGTTCGTTCTCAGCCTTCGAGTTGAGATTGAAAACCCCATAATCTGTGTGATACAACCTAAGTTAGGGGCCTTAAAAATTAGATTAGGGTTTGGGGGTCCGTTAATTATAGTATAGTCAAATAAGGAACCCCCAAAATAATGTGTACAGTTTTGGGGATTCCTGGTTATAACTATAGTATAATGGCCGCCCAAGCCCTATTCTAATCATTTGTTAAGGCCCCTGCACTATTCATGTGCATTGCAGGTTTGGCCTTCTTTTCGGGCTTAGGATCGTGCGTGCATCACAAGAGCACGGGGTCTCGCGTCTTTCATGCAGTGCTGCAGTGTTAAAAGACTTCCTGAAGCATTTAGGTGAGTGTCCGTACACAAGAGTCTAACAGTAGAGCTAATAATGATGGCAATGGAGTCAGCACTTGGGGGGTTTTGGCGGTGTCGAGTTTTTTTTTTTTTTTTGGGGGGGGGGTCATCGAGACACGAAATCCAAAGCCCGGAAACGTGGAAAACTAGCCGTACACCAACAACAAAATCGAGCCCAAACTGGTCTGTTGGCAGAGTGTTTATTTAGGGGATTGTTATCACCATTATCCGGGCTAGACCTTGTAGGCTTGCTAGCATTGTTCTGTCCGTGGTGTGTGATACTTGTTGCTGGCAAATCAGCCGCCTTTTCCAGCAGCGGGATGTGTGGTGTGGCCACACGGGTCTTTCGCACTTGTCGGTTTGTCAGCGCGCCTTCTGCCGATGGCATCAAGCTGGCAGAGGACGGGAAGTTATCTTCATCCTCTTATTGCTTCTTTAAGGCTTGCTTGAACCCTGACTAACCTACCTGTTGAGGGCTCCTTATTATGATCTCCTTATATGCATCCATAAGAAAGTAGGTTTGGGGGGGGTCAAGTTGAGGTAGGGCGTAAGAGGGTGTAAGGCAGCTTTTTCCCTACACTTCCACATGGAAGCAGTTGTCTAAACCTGAAACCTGTGGACCAGAAATCCCAAACCTCAAAAATCTACAACCCCAAAAGCCCAAAGCCTCTGTTGCATGCACCTTTAACCCCTGAACGCTTCAACCCCAGTTCTTGAACAGCGTAAAAAGCTAAAGCTCGAAGCTCAAACCTTAAGCCGCAAAGACCCAAAGCCCTGAACCCCCGACTCGATGCAGCGCGCAAACCCTGTGAACCCCACGCCTTCTCCTTCCTGTAGACCTACTATAGGGGCCTTAATAATTACCTATACTATTTTGGGGGCTCCTTATTATACTTATAGTACAGCATTAAAGTGGCAACATCCCAAAGCTTACTGCGCTTATGGCTACCACGCAAAAACTAAAACATCCAAACCGGAACCCTTTTGCTACGCCTTCGGGTACCATTAAAGCAATGAACACCTCTAAGAAGAACCTCCCTCCAATGCTGGTTGTAGCAACCCGTATAGGCTGATTGTAGCAACACATAATATAGTAATCCTTGTGGGTACTTTTGTAAATGAGGGTTTCTTTTTGGGTCCCCAATATAGTACGGCACCCTAATGACCCTCAAAGGGACCCAAATTTAGAGAACTACCCTTGTAGCTAAACCCTATATTTAAGAGATAATAAAGCCCCCCCCCCTAAACTCTAAACCCTAAACCCTGAACCCTAAACCCTAAACCTGAACCCTAAACCCTAAACCCTAAACCCTAAGCCCTAAACCCTAAGCCCTAAACCCCCACTCCTAGGCCAGCCAGGATCTGTCGGCAGGTGGTTGCATTTCTTAACCACGGGGGCCTCTCTTCTCGGGGTCTTGGGGTGGCATAGAAGCCCTGAAAATGAGGAGTGCTGTTTTCTTAGGGGTTGAGGGTTTAGGGTTTAGGGCTTAGGGTTTAGGGTTTAGGGCATAGACAGAAGCCTGAAAATGAGTAATGCTGCTTTCTAAGGGGTCCTTGTTCAAACTGTACTGTAAGGTACCCTACTCTAACTGTTAATGCCCTACTATAGTAGGGTTCTCTGAAAATCTCGGTAAAGGATGGTTTGAGCTATGGAAGGCCCTTCAGTCAAGCAGGGCTTGAGGCTGTAGGGTCTTCGGGTCTGGGGTTAGCAAGGTTTAGGGGGTTTAGGGTTTGTTGTTTAGGGTCTTACGGCTAGGGGATGTAAGGTTTATGGGGCTGTAAGGCTTGAGATTTAGGATGCAAGGGCTTAGGGTGGTAGAGTTTAGGGTTTTAAATTTTAGGGTTCAGCTTTGACAGTCAGGTAACACGCGCACGTACTACGGATAATCTTCCAGGTGTTGCGACCGCTGCCTGTTTGAACACTGAGTCGAAATCCAGCAAGCCCGAGGAAAGTCCCGGTAATTTGGAGGATGGGCAAAACTTCAGGATCTTGCCCATCAACGAAATTGGGGGGAAACCTCCTGCAAAGCCGGGCGCCCCCTCACTTGGGAGGGGTGCCACTGCAGGAGTGGAAGATGATGCACTTCCGCTACTCTATGCCGGAGGCCACAGGGGCTTCTAGTTGATGGGGGTCTTGCAAACTCTAAATTTCTAATAAGGGGAGACAGGTGCTCTTTCTCCCTTAGGCTGAACTCTCAAATGATCTGAAACACGCTCAACTCCCCAAACCCTGAACCTCGCTTCTGCTGCAGACTTCATTGTTCAGAGCTTATGGGTATGTAAATTGCCTGGGCTCATGACCCTACACCCTAAACCTGTATCTGTATCGCCCCTCACGGTGAGGGATATACTTAGACCGGCGAATCCTCGAGGCTTCGATGCTCCTATACAGAGTAAGCACAGTCCTTCTCAATCTTGCGTTTCAATGTGTGGCAGGCAAACTCGATGCTGGTGACGTCCATTATCGTGTTTGCCAAGGACTGCATGCAAGATCGGATTCTCCTAGTTGGAAGCGTATAGAGTGGTTCGTTCTTACTTTCCGCCTTGCTCATCCTACTCTCGAGCCCCTCTGGCCCCATGCCTGTCCTGCTACTGACGGTAACTCATAAGTCGGCCGCAGAGAAAACCCCTAAACCTTAAACCCTAAACCTGAATCGCGCACTCTTCCACCCAAACCCCCAAAACCCAACACCTTAAACCTGAACCGTAACAGCTCTTCTTAGACCCTTGAACAGCTCAGCCTCTGAAAAAAAACATCAAAGTACCTTGAAAACCCCCGAACCCGAACCCTAAACCCCAAAGCCTGAAACCCCACCCTGAATGGCACTCTTATAACCCTATCAAGCCCTAGTCAACCCGAGCAACCTTGACAATGACTCCATAAACCCTTAAACCCCAAACCCTAACACTCTAAACCCTACAAGCCCTAACTTACAAAGCCTGCACTCAGGGGCTCTAGGGCAGATTGCGCGACCATTGCCGCGCATTGCCGGATGCAGACCTCCTCGTGTGGCTATTGTAGGGTTTAGGGTTTAGGGTTTAGGGTTTCGGGTGTTTGTAAGTCGGGGGTGTTGGGTTCAGGGCCCTGGATTAGGGCTTCAGGTTTGTTGTAGGGGCCCAAGCCAGCACCCAAACATGATGAAACATGAACACTTCAAGGCAATACCCCGACAAGCGGTAGCTTTCAATAGCTCATGTTACGTGTATGCGCTTCCTGGGTCTGTAAGTCCGCTAACTTCTGATAAACCGGCTTGTTACTGGAGGGGCTTCAGAGATGGAGCAAGACAGGTTAGATTGTTCTTGACGTGAGGCGTAGACCTCGCCCGGAACCTTGCGCCCCGAAGCACCAGATCGGGAAGCCTTGATCGAAATGCTTTCGGCTTTAGCCAGCCAAGATCAAGCACGGAGACTTAGCTCTAAACCCTAAACCCTAAACTACCCTAAACCCCTGAACCCTAAACTACCCTAAACCCCTAAACCCTAAACTGCGCTAAACCCTAAATCCTAAACTGCTCTAAACCCAAAGTCCTAAACTACCCTAAACCCCTAAACTACCATAAGCGCTGGGGGGGGTCTTTGCAGGTGTAGAGTGGCTGGGCCTTTCCTGTAGGGTTTCGTGTGTAGAAAGGCCTTCCAGTGCGGGATGCGGGTTTAGGGGGTTTAGGGGCTTAGGGGCTTTAGGGGCTTAGAGGCTTAGGGGTTTAGGGGTTTGGGGTTTAGGGGCTTAGGGTTTAGGGTTAGGGGTTTAGGGGTTGGGGGGTTTAGGGGTTTAGGGTTTAGGGGTTTAGGGTTTAGGGTTCCTTTCGGGCAGTGAGTCTCCAGGCACTGAGCCCTCAAACCCGAAACCCTAAATCCGAAACCCTCAACCCTCGAGGCAGAAACACCCTGAACCCAAGCCTTCCACCGGCAAGCCCGGCAATTTGGGTCAAGAGGCTCAAGGAGGTTTAGGTTTAGGGAGGGTTTAGGGTTTAGGGTTTAGGGGCAGGGGTGTGTCTGACTCTTGAAACACAGAGTCCTCAGCACCGCTGCGCATTGAATTCTGACTGGATGGGAAGGTCCACATCAAAAGCTGGCCTTGCAAGCTCGGACAGCCCTCCGCTAAAGCTCGGGGAAGGAGCAAGGGTTTAGGGTTTAGGGTTTAGGGTTTAGGGTTTAGGGTTTAGGGTTTAGGGTTTAGGGTTTAGGGTGCAGGAAGGGTTTGAGCTTTGATGCCATATATCTGGCTAGGAGCAGCGCCAGCGAATCCGGACATGGAAATAAATAATGAGAGTCGCCCCCTGTCACATAAATCTAACACCCGATTGCACATGTTGAGGCCCCTCTGTCACCGTTCTACCCAACCCTAACCCCTACACCCTAAACCCTGAACCCTAAACCTCAAATCCTAAACCCTAAACGCAAGACTTGGGACAAGAGCACGTACAGCCGAGTCAAGGATTCGCAGGATGTACCGACAGGCCGTCTGATCAAAGATTTTTGGGAAAAGTTTCCGATTCTGGGGTTGTTTAGGGCGCTAAGGTTCAGGGCTTCCAATTTTGGAGCTTGGCGCTTCGAAGTTCAGGGCTTCCGATTTGGAGGCTTAGGGCTATTTATACATGGAGTGGAGTGTCTAAGGTTTGTGGTTTCGGATTTCGGACCCCTAAACCCTAAACCCTAAACCCTAAACCCTAAACCCTAAACCCTAAACTCTAAACCCTAAACCCTAAACCCTAAACCCTATAAACCCTAAACCCTAATAAGAGGACAAGCCGAAGCTCCACAGATGCTCCCCAAAGAGCCCACTCCGTGGAGACTCATTCCAGAAACCTCCTGAGCTCATGCTTGATCCTGCTTTTTAAATTAGGCCATGAACTTAGGAAAAAGAACAATATCTTAAAGCCTATAGTCCCCGAACCCGAAAGGCTAAACTCTACACCCTTTTGAATTTGAACCCTTTCAGCCCGGAGCCCCCAACCATAAACCCTGCGCGCAAGCCCGAAGCCCCGGCACGCATCGGCCCTAAACCTAGAACCCCACAACCCTATAACTACAACCCTACAACCCTACAACCCTCAACCCTAAACCCTAAAACCCTAAACCCTAAACCCTAAGACCCTAAAGCCCTGAATCCCTAAAACCCTAAAGCAAGGCGCCTGCAGAGAAGCGATGAAATCGGCCTTCTCGCTGCAGGCGACGCATTTCACGCCAAGGAGCTTGACCTGGGGTTTAGGGTTTAGGGTTTAGGGCTGGTATCAGGGCATCTGACAGGTTTGGGCCATCTTAAGGGGTTTAGGGCTTTTAAAGACAGGTTCAGGGCATCTTACATGAGTTTGGGGCATCCATCGTCAGGGTAGTGAATGACCCGATGCTGCCTCGGGCAGCCTCAGCAGTCGCAGCGGCCGGTGGCTAGAACAGGAGGGAGCACTGGAGGGTTTAGGGTTTAGGGTTGTCGCACCACTGGACCATGATGGCCGTGCCCGGGGCGACTCCTGGATGCCACCAGCTCTCGTCCGCTACGCAGCGGCACGCGTGGCGCCTGGACGCGCTGGCCATAGTCGGCCAAAGATTTCATCGCCATGGTCCACTCCGAGTAGGGAGGCACCACGCACAGGCTGTCTATATAGAGCATGTTGTGGCCCTGACGAATTTAGGGGCCTACATAATTACCTATACTATTTTGGGGGTTCCTGATTATAATTATAGCATAATATACTCCAAAACCCTATTCTAATTGTTAAGGCCACGGTATTAGCACAGTTCGGCTTGCTTGGATTGCTGTCTGCGGGCAAATAATGATTAGGCGGATGTACAAAGTAACGGGTAAATCCTGGGTCCTTCTTAAGGGGCATAGCTGAGACTGAGGCAAGGCACAATTTCGTTAGGAAGCTTTTGACATAATCTAGTGGTAATTAGGTTATGGTCTTGAGCTGAAGTATATTGTATGCATGCATGCATGCATGCACGCACGCACGCACGCATGTAATCGCATCTATGTATGTATGTACGTACGTACGTATGTATGTATGTATGTATGTATGCATGTATGTATGTAGATCTAGGTAGGTAGGTAGGTAGGTAGGTAGGTAGGTAGGTAGGTAGGTAGGTAGGTAGGTGGTCGGTGGGTAGGTAGGTAGGTAGGTAGGTAGGTAGGTAGGTAGGTAGGGA